CTCTGACTCGCCATGTGATGTCTTCTGCCATGTTGTCATGCAGCAAGAAGCCTCTCCCCAGAGACTGAGCCCAACTCAGAACCATATTCTTAGACATCTAAGCCTCTAGAGCCATGAAACAAGTAAACTCCTATTCTTTATAAATCATCCAGCCTTGGGTATTTTGTTATAGCAACATAAAATGGACTAAGAGGCATGCCTATGTGCTCCCAGACACCAATGGAGTTCCAGCACACAGTAGGTCATGTGCACTGTATTAACAGATTAATCTGTTTCTGCTTCATGAATTCAAATCTTAGTTTTTGTGTACATGTCTGAAATGAAAAAGTAAATATACATCCTTAAATGACCCAATGGGTATTTCTGAGGGTATCAGAGGGATCTTCAGATGCCCAAGGAGATAGGACAGCTGAGCGCACCTCACAGAGAGAGGATGGTCATGAGAAACCAAGGCCATAAAGGAGACCCCACATGGGGAGGAGGGGCTCACACTGAAGGTGAGGAGGCACAACTGCTGCCATGGGGCACTGGGATGGAAACCGTGCCACATGTACACGGGGTAGGACAGAGTGACAGACACCTGAAGCCCCCAGCATGTGCAGCCCTGCTGCAAGACACCTTTGGGAAGAATGTGGCCCTGTCCCTCTCACAAGGGACACTGGGCTGGGACAGTGGGGAACTGGGCTTGTGTCCAGATTTTGCTTTCCATTAGTTGTCACTTTGAACCCATCAACTGTCCATTGGCCCACCTAAGTATCAACACCAAAAGAACCAACAGGAGGGGCTGCCTCTAGCCCACCACAGTGCGCGGGGTCTCAAGTGTGAGGAGGGGTTTTGCTATCTCCCAGTGCACATGTCCCCACGCCGTGTCCCTGTGCACGAAATTAGCAAAACTTCACATCCTACCTGTTTCTATGCCTCGTAACCTTGCACTGATTTCACAGATGTAATTTGCAAGCAGGTTTTATAAGATAATCAGAAAACAACCTAATACTGTTTCCATGGGAGAACTGAAGGCACAGCAGTGTATCTTTGATTCTCTCACATGCTATGTGAGATAACATCTGGTATTCTCCCAGAGAACAAGGGAGGTCTCAACACATTCTCTTCCAACAGAGTACCCGTTGGGAGCCACAGCCTTCTGGTCTACCAGGAGTCCTTCAGATGCTGGTCTAGCCATTTCTGTCCTGCTATGTAGTGTGACAATGCTTAGGGCATTTTATTATTATTATTATTTTATTTCTGGATGACAATACCTATTCCAAGACCATACACTTTTTTTGAATTTTACTTTGTTCCAACAGATCGATCTCACTTTCACCTCTTTGGAGAGTCCAAGTGTGGATACCAAGTTCAAGGTCGTGGACCCAGCAGGAACTGTACCTATAGTTAGATGTGGGGTGTCCAAAACACAGCATAGACCCTGGCCCAGGATCATTCACTGGTCACATGGAGGCTTTTTCAGGGTTTTTTTGTTTGTTTTTTGTGGTACTGGGGTTTGAACTCAGGACCTCATACTTGCCAGGCATGCACTCTACCACTTGACCCACTCCTCCAGCCAACGTGGACAGTTTTTAAGTCATGTAAAATTTGCCATGAAACCCATGTGACAGACTGTTCCACCCTAAACCCTGCCTCAACCTATACACACTGGAGTCAAAGAAGCAAAACTGTAATCATGACTTCCTTGGTGAGTAAAACTGTGAGCGTTTTGTTTGTTGACTGTTGCCATGTCGTGTTATTATGCTTTTATGCTGTTACCCTTCGCTGTAATGAGTAAAGAAAAAAAAGACTCTTTCTTACTAAATATATTGTAGGATTACCCCATAATTTGAAGACAAATAACACTACTTTGAGGAAAAAATTAGCATGATCAGCAGTTAATTTGCCACCCAATCATTCATGGAGGTCTTTCTTGGCCTGTTGTGTGTGGTTCTGGCTCTCTTACAAGACTATATCCTTGCATACTTACAGGAAAAAAAAATGACAAACTGATCACAGGATAATTCTCAAAAGATCGAGAATATAAGCTATTAAATAGCCAAAATCAGAAGCCAGTTTAAAGCTATTATTATTACATGCTACTAGGTAGCAAGCTATTTATTTCTGGTATATTTGTTAAATACATTGCTTTTTTAAAAATAGGAAGAAATGTGAAAGTTAAAAGTTTACAAACAGAATGTAGGCTGATTAAATTTAAAATGCATTTGTTAGGCCCTCATCTGAAGACTAGAGAAATGTTTGGAAGAAATGGTGAATACTATACTCCAGCGGTACCTCAAGAAAGCCCCTCTACCCCACTATGAGCACTTGCCTGAACACACTGACTGACAAAACCAGGCCAGGTGTCCACTGGGGAATTCTGAATCCACTTACAATGGTGCCTCAAGAAGAAGTCTAGAAAAGAAATACAATTCTGTCCTAACCTAAGGATTTTAAATCCAATGTTAAAACTTGAAGATGTAATGTTCTAAACTTTTCCCTTTGTTTGTTTGTGCATGTTTGTTTCTTTGGGGTCTTTTATTTGTTTCCTTGCTTGTTTTTAAAGAGAGTAATTAATTAGTAGGACCAGAAGAAACTAATTTATCAAGATTAGGCAGATCTGAGTGAACCTCACAGGTTAACCAACCTCACTCTTTAGAGATCTGGTTGTTTCCTTAAAGGGAAAACAAATGAAAAAAAAAAAAAAAAAACACCAAAAACATGACATACAACATGGTGACCACGATATCCCTGGCCTTGCCTGCATAAGCTACTGGGCTCCAAAAAACCAAGCTGTCTTTTACTTTTACTTTTCCTGTCATCTCCAGAAGTGGAGACAATTTGGTGCTTATAGGGATTTTTTTTTTTTCCTTAAAAAAGAATAATAGCAGGGGTAGAACAGGGAGGGAACTTTCTGTGCAGAATCAACAAAAGCTATGAGAGCCAAGTGCACAGCAATAAACACCCACACTTACACTGTGCCTACTTTAAGCCAGGCATTGCTCTAAATGCTTTATGTGATCTATTCTTGAATCCCACAGCTATCTCAAGGGCTAGGTCCTATTGTTTTCCCCATTTCATGGATGGGACCACAAAGGCACAGAAAAGGTCACAAGAAAGAAAGTAGCAGAGTCAGGATTTGATTCCAGAGCCCTGGCTATAAAGTCCATGTTCTTGTATCACACTACATTCATGCAGACAGGCAGCACTTCACTCAAACCTTCATCATTTTTAACGCCTGCAGTCTGCACCAGACATACGACACTTTTCAACTAAGACTGGGGCTGGAAAAGTCTCCCCGGAGGATGGAGTCCACACTGAATCTTGGACATGCAGGTAGAGGGCAGGGACGGGGGCAAGGTTGGGGGCGACCCCATTCCAGTAGAGGGTGAAGACTGTGCGAAATCTCAAGGCAGGAAGGAATGTGGCTCTCTCAGGGTACCATGGCAGACCCAGCAATGCCACGGGAAGGCTGGAGAGAAAGGAGGCAGGAATAACATCAGGAAGGGCCTGTGCATGCATCAGGAGTGTGAGTTTACCCGAAATTCTGCAAAACAGCTGAAGAATTTCACTAAGAAATAAAACAATCAGGTTTTTTTCCTGCCTCACTGGCAATTTCAAAGGGACTGGATTGAAAAGAAGCAGGGTGACTAGTTAGGAATCTGCTTCTGTAGTCCTAACTGTAACAAGAGGCCATTGCCTGAAAACGCATAGCCACAGCACCACAGCAATGGGAAACTTCTCCAATCAAGCAGATCTGGGGCCACCCAGCAGCTTGTACCACAGTCCTTTCCAGGACCTCCCCAAGTGTTCTGCCTTTGGGCAATGTCCCAATAAATCATTTTGCACTGTCCCCAGACCTTTAAAAATCTAGGAACAGCACCTTCTCACTAGTAAAGAGACAATGCCAGTTCTGCCCCCAGACCCTTGCCACCCAGATACTTCTACAAATAAACTTGGAAGCATTTTTTTTTTCTTTACTTCTTAGATTTGCCTACATCTCAGTTAAGAAGGCTCAGGCTTTGATAAGCCTAAAAGCATTTCTAAAGGATTATGATTTAACATGCAGAGCACATTCTTGACCTTATTATCTCCAGCTTCCTCAGGGTCTGACTAAAGGTCTTCAGGAATGAACTCTTTGTTTCTTGTCTTTCTTTCTTTCTTTCTTTCTTTCTTTCTTTCTTTCTTTCTTTCTTTCTTTCTTCTCTTCTCTCTCTCTCTCTCTCTTCTCTCTCTCTCTCTCTCTCTCTCTCTCTCTTTCTTTCTCTCTTCCTTTCTTTCACACAGCTGTTGGTATGAGTGCTCCTGACTTTGACCATGGTTTTGTTGCCTTGTACAAATGCCTATTTAAACTCAAAACTTCCTCCATCTTCCATCGTGCGATTACAAACTCTTTCATGAAAGAGATCATGAAGTAAGGTTGGGAATATGACACTCGGGCAGATGATGTTCAACTCATCAGCATCCTGATTCTTCCAAACTAAATGTGAAGATTTCAACAAATACCATAATATGTAACTAAGTTTCCATTTTTCTCCCAAAAGCTTATTTATCGGTTCTACCAAAGTGGATTACTTTTTTGAGGAGCTGGAAACGTTGGCTAGTTTGAGGCTCCGGGATTTGAGTCCTGGGAATTCTCAAATTGAATCTACCCGGTTTCATTTTTTCACCTCAAGGATTACAGCTTTCTCTGGCAGAAATCCTCTGAACACCAACGGGGCGTGTCGCTTTTTGTTTTCCCTTAACTCTTTAACAACCTCCCAACTAGGACAGCCAGAAGGATTTTCAGGACAAAGGACAGTGGAATGCTGGCCCCACACATCCGATCTCCCAATCTCTCCACCCCAAACTCCCCCAAATGCTTCCTCTAGAAGCCGGGTGGTCCCACCTCCTCGGGAATGGAGGAGCCCGCTGACGGGACCCAGAGGGCGCCCTCCTGGAGCGTCTCTCTTAGATCTGAGAAGACCAAGACTAGGGATGGAGGGTGCATCCTAGAATTTTGGGAAAGCGACATTTACCTTGACGAAGAGGGTGATGTCGTGCTCCTGCCCTGGGTCCCCCTCCTCGAACACCTCGCCGTCTTCCCTGCGGCCGTTCACTGGCGCGGACCCGTCCCCGGCCTCAGCGCTGCGCTCCTCCGCCAGGTGGTTGCTGAGCTCGGCCTGGGGCTCCTCGGCCCCCCTCGATCAGCCGCCTCTCCATCGGGGCTGCCGTCGGGGGGCTCCTCCTCCTCCCCGGCCGCGGCTTCTTTGCTCCGTCCCTCCTCTTCCTCCTCTGTCCCCTCGGGGGTCCCGCCGCGGTCCCCATTCTCGCCTGCGTCTGCCCTCGCCTCCCCGGGGGACGCTCCTTCGGACCCCTCTGATCCCGGGGTTCCCCCCGCAAACTCCCCGGGGTAGTGCCTCCCCGTCTCCGCGGCTGCGACCTCGATCGCACCGGACTGGGGCTGGGGGCCGCAGTCTCCCTCGCCCTGGTGCGCCCCCTCAGCCCGCTCTGCAAGCCCCTCAGCCTCCATGCTGTCCGCTGCGGGTTTCTGGGCGTCCTCGCGGACCTCCGGGCCCTCTAGCCCATGCTCTCCGTCCTCCTGCGCCTCCAGGGCTGCAGGGTCTCCGGCATCCCCCTGAGCCTCCCCTGCGGCCTCGCCTTGCGCGCCACGCCCGGGACCCGTCTCCTCCACCTGAACCGCGCCGCTCGCCTCCCCGCCTCCCTGCGGGACCTCCTTATCCTCTGCCTCGCCCTGCGCTACCCCATCGTCCCGCGGGTCGGCCCCGGGGTCACTGCCCGCGCCCGGAGCCGGGCCGCCGTCGCCTTCCTCCTGCACCGCAGTGGCCGTTGCCTCTGCTCCCGCCCCCTCGGCCCCGGGCGACGACACCGCAGCGCCCTCGTTCGCCTCCTGCCTCTCCGCCTCCGGACCCACAGCCCCGGGTTCATCCGGTCTCTCCGCCAGAAACGCCGGGCCCTCGGGTGGCCCCTGGGAACCCGGAGTGCCCCCCTCCGCCTCCACCGCCTCGGTCATGACCGCAGATCTCTGCCCTTGATGCTGCTGAGCTGCTGGTGGCGCCTGGCGAGGTGCGGGGGACTGCTGTGCCCTCTCCGGGAGGACACCCCACTCGGGGCTCTGTTGCGAAGGTTTCCAGTCGGCCCCTTCTGCCTGGTTTAAGATGTGGGGGTGGGGTGGGGGTCTTCCTTCACCACTCGTGCTTCTCTTGGATTCGCACCTGGACCCAGGTCTAGCCGCGCGGGCCCCGGAGGTGCAAGCGCAGGGCTGGCGAAGGAAGCTGAGCTCCTGCACCCTTGGAAGTGCCCGGCTCCCTAGCCCCAGTCCCCGGGTTGACCAGAAGTCCTGGTGCCAACACTATTTCCCTCCTAGGGCCTGGGCGGGGTTTGTCTTCCTCTCCTCCTCGCATGTTTGGGTAGCCTGGGAGCCTGACCAATGATAGCCTTGCTGTGGCACTTGTGAATTTTAATGAAAAGACTGGTTTTACTGGCCTCTTTGGTGCTTTCTGGAACAGCTTCAAGTTCCAGAGCCATTTAAATCACCCCCCCACACACACACACACACACACGCACTCAAAACACCTAATTCTCACCTTGTCACAGAAGTGCAGCCTTGAGCTCCTCGGATAGCCTACTGAAGACTCCCACCTTGTGGCTCTTAGCCAACAGCAAGGCTATGTATAAATCCAGAGAAAATGAGGGAGATGTCAACCCTGCCTTCCACTTTCTGCAGGGCCCTTCTGACAGGTTCCAGAAGCCCCAAAACAGCAGCAAAAGGAGAGGAATGAGCTGGTCTGTCCACACGGCGCTCTGTTGTGCATAAGGAGCCAGCCCATCCTAGCGTGACATGGAAGAGGGTTGTACCTCTCAGCTCCCTGGTCCCTGAAAATGCTAAGGGTGTATATACCGTGGGATTTCTAAACTCATGGCCAGAACTTTGGCCTCATTGTTGTGTATTAAGCACCTGGGGAGCTGAAAGTGGGGAGAAGAAAATCCAAGATGTGAAAGAGGGGAGCTGTGGAATTCGCTGGACTAGGAATCCGCCAGGGTCTTACATCAGATGTGTCTCCTTTAAAAATGAAGTTACGCTTTTAACTTTTAATTAGCTTTTAACTTTTAATTTTTAATTGGAACACCCTCCCAAACTTATTCTATGAGGCCAATAGTACCCTGTTACCAAAATCAAGCAGGGACACACACACACTCACCTATAGACCAATATCTCTGATGAGTATAGATGCAAGGACTCTCCACAAAATGCTAACAAATTGAATTTCACCACACATCAAAAAGATCATTCAATGTGATCAAGTTGGTTTCATTCCAGGGGTGCAAGGATGGTTCAACATACACAAATTAATAAATGTAGTATATCATATGAACAGAATGAAGGATTTCAAATCACTTGATCGCCTCAATAGATGTATAAAAATTATTTGATAAAATTTAGCATCCCTTCATGATAAAAGCCCTGAACAAATTATGTACAGAAGGACGGAATCTCAACGTGCTACAGCTGTATATGACAAACCCACAGCCAACCTCATACTGAATGAGAAAAACTGAAGGCATTAGGAATAAGACAGGGTTGTCCACATTCACCACTCTTGTTCAATATAGTATCAGATGTTTTCTTTTTTAACATTTTTGGTGGTACTGCAGTTCGAATTCAGAGCTTCAGCTTGCTAGGCAGGCTCTCTACCACTTGAGCCACCCTATCAGCCCTTTTTTGTACTATTTTCAAAATATGTTCTCACCAACTATTTGCCAGGGCTAGCTTAGAACTGTGATCTTTCTGAGACATAGCTAGGATTATAGGCATGAGCCACTGCAGCCAGCAAGAAATAGCAAATGTTTTATCCAGAGAAATTAGGCCAGAGAAAGGCATGCAAATAGGAAAAGAAGCCAAATTATCGCTGTTGGCAGATGATATGGCTCTATGTCTGGAAAAACCTAGAGTTCACCAAAACACTATTAGAACTGATAAATTTGGTAAAGTAGCAGGCTACAAAATCAACATACAAAATTCAGTAGCTTTTCTACACACCAATAATGAATTTGCTGAGAAAAAAACATGAAAGCAATCTCACAACAACTACAAAAAGCAATTAAAAACATACCTAGGAATGACCTTAACCAAGGAAGTAAAAGACCTTTATAATGAAAATTATAAAACAATGATGAAATAAATTGAAAAGACACTATAAGACAGAAAGACTTCCCATGACCAAAGATTAGAGAGATCCATATTGTTAAAATGTTCATACTACCCAAGCAATCTAAAGATCCAATGCAATCCCCATCAAAATATCAATGTTGTTCTTCTAAGATTCATATGGAAGCACAAAAGACACAAATAACCAAAGCAATCTTGAGCAAAGAGAACAAAGCTGGAGGCATCACAATTCCTGATTTCAAGACATACTTCAGAGCCAAAACAGCATAGTATTGGGGGGGGGAGGAAAAACAAGCACATATATAAATGCAACAGCACAGAGATCTCAGAAACACATACATACATCTTCAGCCAACTAATTCTTGACAAAGGTGCCAAAAACATACATTGAAGAAAAGACAGCCTCTTCAACCAATGGTGCTGAGAAAACTGGACATCCACTGGCAGCAGATTGAAACTTGACCCTACCTCTCATCTTGAACAAAAATCAACTCAAAATGGATCAAAGACCAAAATGTAAAATATGAAACTACTAGAAAAAAAATGTGGGGAAACTCTAAGATACTGGTATGGACAATTGTTTTTGGATGGACTCCCAAAGCACAAGAAAGAAAAGGATAAATTGAGAAGTGGGATTACATCAAGGTATTAGAGCTTCTAAAGAGTGAGTAAACAATGAACAGAGGGAAGAGGCAACCTGCAGAATGGGAGGAAATAACTGCCAACTATTCATCTGACTCTGACGATGAGTTAATACCTGGAATACATAAAGAATTCAAACACTTAACAGCACAAAATAAGTGATTCAACTTAAAAATAGGGAAATGCCCTGAATAAACAAGTCTCAAAAGAAGAAATACAAATGACCAACAAACATATGAACAAAATACTCAGTATCATTTGCCATCAGAGAAATGCAAATCAAAACCACAATTAGATACCATTGGAATGGCCATTATCAATAAATAAGTAAATAACCAATTCTGGTGAAAATGTGTTGTGAAGTACAATGAACTCTTACACACTGTTGTTGAGAATGTAAGTTAGTAGAGACATTATGGAGACCAGTACAGAAGTTCCTCAATACTAAAAATAGTTCTACCATACCCAGCTATCCCACTCCCTGCTATATATCCAAGAAATCAAATCCACATCCCAAAGAGATGCCTGCATTCCTGTGTTTACTGCAGCACTACTCACAATACAAAGATATAGAATCAGCCTAGGTAGTCATTAACTGATGAATGGGTAAAGACAGTGTATCTATCTACAATCAGTGCTATTCAGTCATTAAGAAGACTGGAAATCTTGTCATTCACAGCAAAAACAGATGGAGCTGAAGGACATTATGCTAAGTGAAATAAGCCAGACACAGAAAAACAAATACCACAAGCTAAAAAAAAAAAAAAAAGGCAATCTGAAAGTAGAATAGAAATTACCAGAGACCAGGAAGGGTGTTGGGGAGAGGGTAGAAAAGGGGTGGTTGAATTTGATAAGTGTACACACATGCATAGATGAAAATATCATACTGAATCCCCATTAACGTAAACAAATAGTGCATGCTGATAAGATAAATACATAGAAAAAAATTTAGGATGAAAATTATGTAGCAAGCCTGGTCTAAGATAGGCTAGATCTTATGGATTGCGGTTTGGAACTGGATTGCCCAGAAGATTTCCACATACATGTGGGGGCAGTGGGGATCCCAGCTCAAGACTGATTTGACTTATCAGGCTTTTAATGGTTTTATACTGTCCTGAGACACTTTACCCCATTGTGGACACAGAGGTTTCTAATTTCATTCCAAGACTTGGGGACATCTTGGATGTAGCTTGTGTTAGGGTGAGCAAAAGGGAAGGCATGTTAGGATTGGACTCCCCACCCTTGCAGGTAGCTTACTGGAAACACCCAGCCATCCACTGAAAGGACCACATCTAGCCTCAAGGAAATGAGAAGCTGCTAACTCCCCAGGGGTCCGGACCTGAGTCACTTATCTACCTAATTACCACTTATCTCCTCTAGCTTTCCCTAGTAATTATTAACTCTACTCTGGAAAAAATTTCACACCCAGCAGAATTTCCCCCCCAGAATCCGTCCCTATATCTACTTCAAGTCTGTAAGTGGCTGTGGGCTCCAGCTGTCTTGCTGGGGTCTCCCTCCACAGGGTTTCTTCCCAAATAAAACCCTGTGCTGGCCTTTGAGCTGTCTTCCTGCCTACCCATTCTGTGCCTCTTTCATTCTAGCAGCTTGGAGTGGTACATTTGATCATTCACCATGATGCTTCCTTCTAATCCCCATGGCCCATCACGCTTGGATGGCAGGTGCTATGGTTTGAATCTAAAGTCCATATGTTCTAAATTTAATCTCAACTTCATAGGCTGATAGTATTTAGAGATGGAGCTTTGGGGAGGTACTTAGGATTTCATGAGGTCATGAGGGTGAAACTCCCATGATTGGTATTTGTAGCTTTAGAAGAAAAGGAAAAGAGACCTGTACTGGCTCATTCTCTCTCTCTCTCAGTCTCTCTCTCTCTCTCTGTCTCTCTGTCTCTGTCTCTCTGTTTCTATCTGTATCTCTCTATCTATATCTATCTATAACTCTCTCTTCACATGATACCTTGCACCATGGATGGTACAGCAAGAAGACCCTCACTACATACCAACACATTGATATTGGGCTTCCTAGCCTCCAGTACTGTGAGAAATGAATTTCTTTTCTTCATTAATCACTGAGCCTGTCACAACAGCACAAAAGAATCTAAGATAACAGGACAGGAGCCCAAGGACACCCAGCTTCATGTCACCTTTCTTCAAGTTGGGTCCTACCTGGGAAGGAACAGGTCA